TCCGCTGCCACACTGTGGGGCTGAAGCACACAAAATCTACTAAGCTGCCCCTACTAGGCTGCCTCTCAGTAGACCCCTAGGGTCTTACTCCTCACTTGGGAGCCATATCAGTGAGAGAGGTTTGTTTGGTTTTTGTTTGTTCGTTTGTTTTAGTTTTGCTTCTCACTTGGGGCGGTGGCCTCCAACCCAAAAAGGGTTCCCAATCCCTGGTTTATTGAAGCAGTCCTATTCCAGGTTCATCCTATTTTATCTGGCACATCTTGGTTCAGCCTATTTCAACACTTGTTCAGTTATATCAATTTTGAGGACTATCTTTAACTTGGTGAATCTGTCTCCTTTCTGTTTGGTTTTATGGGAAACAATCCTATTTCAAGCACATCTATTTTCCTGGCACAACCAAATGCTTATGTTGTTTTCTATTATAATAAGAGGATTCACAAGTTGAATATGAGTCAGCAGTGTGATGCTGTTGCAAAGAAAGCAAACATGATTCTGGGATGTATTAACAGGTGTGTTGTGAGCAAGACACTAGAAGTCATTCTTCCACTCTACTCTGTGCTGGTTAGGCCTCAGTTGGAGTATTGTGTTCAGTTCTGGGCATCGCATTTCAAGAAAGATGTGGAGAAATTGGAGAGGGTCTAGAGAAGAGCAACGAGAATGATTAAAGGTCTAGAGAACATGACCTATGAGGAAAGGCTGAAGGAATTGGGTTTGTTTAGTTTAGAAAAGAGAAGATTGAGGGGGGACTTGATAGCAGTTTTCAGATATCTAAAAGGGTCATAAGGAAGTGGGAGAAAACTTGTTCATCTTGGCCTCTGGGGATAGAACAAGAAGCAATGGGCTTAAACTGCAGTAAGGGAGGGCTATGTTGGACATTAGGAAAAATTTCCTAACTGTCAGGGTAGTCAAACACTGGAATAAATTACCCAGGGAGGTTGTGGAATCTCCATCTGTAGAGATATTTACGAGTAGGTTAGATAAATGTCTATCAGGGATGGTCTAGACAGTATTTGGTCCTGCCATGAGGGCAGGGGACTGGACTCGATGACCTCTCGAGGTCCCTTCCAGTCCTAGTATTCTATGATTCTTCGAGTGATGTCTCCTTGGGTGCTCCACATTAGGTACTGGGCTTGCCCTGGAGATGTTCAAAACCATAGTCAGACTGTGCATGTGTGGGGGAGGGGGACGTCTCGTGGCAGTCGCGCTCTCCTGCGCTTCGCGATCTGATCTCAACCAGTTACTCTTCAACTGCCTCAGGCTGCAGACGGAGCAAATCATATCTCCTTCTGGTTCAACCTTTTGTGAGAAAAACCCAGTTATAATTCTTTAGTTTACTTTTATAATCATTCTTAAATAGTTCTTATACCTGTTCACATTCGTTTAAAAAAAGAAAAAGAAAAAGAAAAAGAAAAAGAAAGAAAAAGATTTTTTTCCTGTTGGTACATAGTCCATTAAGTTTTCATTCTCCTTCCCACCCCCATTATAACTTTGATTCTTGTATAAAAAAAAACGGAGCAGATAAAGGGAAGAAGCAACATTAACATCCATAATGCCAGGCTCTCTCGGGTTTAAAAAATGCTCCCTGTGCCGCGAGGCCATGCCTGCATCTGACGGTCACGCCGCGTGCATCTGCTGTCTGGGCGAGAGCCATGTACCTCCTTTGCCGCAAGGCCATGCCTGCATCTGACGGCCACGCCGCGTGCATCTGCTGTCTGGGCGAGAGCCATGTACCGCAAAAATGCATACATTGCTCAAAACTTACAGTGAGGGCCCCCACATGATCCTTTTCGCTAAGGCGCTCCAGCCCGCTGAGTCAGTCTCCCCACCTCGGCCTGCACAGCAGCCTCAGAAACGGAGTGCCTCCTCTCCCTCCAGGGCTCCTTCTAAGAGACCCAGGCCCTCTCCAAGTAGATATCTGCCTTTGACTTCTCATGGCAGAACTACCTCGGGCTCTAACTTGGGCACTTTGGTTTCAAGCGCCTATTCAGCCTTGAAACCGCCCAGAAGTTTGCCTGGTGCATCTCGCCCTGCCACTGCAACTTCTCCAGCGTCGGAATCGCCCTGGCACCGAAGTCACCGGCACCGTCTATGCCAACAGCACCGCAGGCACAGTCGGCACCATTACATGCCGCTTCTACTTCTACTTCATCCTCCTCTCCAGAGGAGCCAACAATACTGGCATGTGAGCAGACAGCACCGACCTCAGAGCATGAGTGTACGGCACCGACCGAATCCTGGGACAGACCACCGCCAACACTGACTCGCGACCCACTGATGCCAGCGCTGGCGCTGGCCTTGCCAAAGGTGCGCTTGGCACCGACATTGGCACGGGCTCACCACAATCCCAGTGCAACACACTGCTGGTCAGCACTGTCATCGGTGCCGGAACACACAGCACCGACCAACACCAGAATGCACAGCGGGCAAAGACCCATCATATCCGCAGCCCACCCCTGGCCTCACTGCCTCCTGTATTTTAACTGGTTCTATCACCATCTCTTCCCCCACCATCAAGCAGAAGATCACCATGGCTCTCCAGGAGATATTCCTCTCCTGACAGACTTCCTTCTCCATTTTTGACACCTCCCAGAGATGTTCGAGTGTCTTCTCATCACTCCTCTGCCTCTCCCTCACCACCTATGCAGAGATCATACTCTTCTTCTCCATCCCTTTGCTCGAGAAGATCATCCTCACACTACGATTACACTGCACACCATCGTTATGAGCGTTCTCCTTCATGCTCTTCTTACTATTATCAGGATTTATGACTACTCCCGTTATCATAGGAGTACTCACCGCATCATCGTCGTTGTCATTGTTCACCCACATCCCCTCCATGTTCCATGATGGCCTGTTCTTCTTCTAGACACTCCCCACATTCTGCTCCTCCACCCTCTGCTCGAGACTCATCACCACACCGTTCACCACCTCTCGTTCAAGAGCAACAGCCCCAGGCCATTACAGAGTCACATCCTCCTGAAGGCTCCCCCACAGATCAGTCCTCCTCTCTCGATGAAGCCGTCATCCCTGGAGATGTCTCTCCACCAGACAACTTGAGACAGTTCCAGGATCTTTTCAAGAGGGTGGCAGTGTCTCAAGAAATCCAACTCACCGAAATCAAGGACAAACAACATAGTCTTCTGAAAAATTTGCGGACTACCCATACCACCAAATTGGCCATACCTCTAGAGGAGGCTATCTTGAAAGTTGCTAGTGATCTCTGGCAGACTCCTGCCTCCATTCTTCCCACTAACAAGCGGGCTGATAAAAATATTTTGTACCTCTGAAAGGATTGGAATTTCAGTTCTCCCACCCTCACCCCAACTCTTTGGTGGTCGATGCAGCCCAGCAATGAGCCAGGGATCCTCAGTATAAATCAAGTACATCAGATAAGGAGTCAAAAAGGCTTGATTTATTTGGGAGGAATGTGTACACCTCTTCAACTTTGCTCCGTAGAATCGCTAAGTACTTCGCGCATTTATCAAATCATAATTTTGATAATTATGCAAAGTTGACCGACCTGATGGAGGCCCTTCCTGAATCTAAGAGGCTCCTTCTTAAATCTGTGGTCCAGGAGGTTTATGCTGCCACTCAAACTGGTCTCCAGATTGCCATAGATGTAGCAGACACAGCACCCCGCACCACTGCCACAGCGGTAGTTATGCACAGGGCCTCATTCCTCCAGGCAGCGGGAGTGCCAAAGGAGCTGCAATCCAAAGTGGAGGATTTGCCACTTGAAAAGGACTCACTATTCAGGGAAAACACTGACTCAGTTTTACATTCTAGCAAGGACACTAGAACAACCTTGCGGTCACTTGGAATGTCCACCCCACCATACAGGAGGGGTTACGATTATTTTCATCCCAGACAACACTGGCAACCACATCACCGGCAGTTCGACTGGCCACGCCAAAATCAATGCCATAGACCAATAAGACACTGGAATCAAAATAACCGCGCTCAAACGCACCTCACCAACAAGCAGCATGTTTGACATATTGGTTGGCCCTCCCCTCCCCCCAGTAGACCAGGGCGATGCGGAGCAAAGCCGCGGAGGATGCGGGCGGGACTGCGGCGCGTCTTGGCGGTCCCGCCACCCGCGTCTCCCTGGTCTGCTGGGGGGGGGGGGGAACTAGTCGACCCCCGGCAGACCAGGCGTTTCTCGCCGACGACGCCCTGGG